CTTTCTCTCATGGCGCTGTTGCTCGCTAGCATTTATCACCCTCCATGCCTGTCATCTCGACTAAGTGTGTACTGCTGACGGTGATAATGACAAGGTGATGTACCCTTCTAAAGCCACGGGTGCGGCTTAGGTAGTCAAGGATATGCTTATCTGTTTAAACCCACAGGGCGTATTAAGTCGCCTGGTAGATACGATTGTGAATGATACCTAGCTACGAGTAAATTGATCACGGCCGTGTTTTATACAATCTTCCACTGGAAATAACTCAAAGTAATCATTTAGCCGTTGTCCGTGCACCTACTCAATTCATTCATCAATTTATTACAAGTTAGACTTTTTTGCTCCCATTAGACGTCACCTGTTAGAGTTAGACTGCGGATGTAACAAAATTTGCGCTAATTTAACCAGCGCCCTTCCCATGTAACAACCTCGCACGTCTAGCTGTCCTACCTTTCCTTCTTTACATATGTTTTCTATGTTGGAAGGCACAAACGATCAAATTCCTCTCGTTCCAAGAACAGAAAGCACCTGCTTTTGTGTTTTAAGTGGTGACCCTTGCCTTGACAACACGACCTGCTTTGCTGCACCATTGGATCACGTGTCATAATTTTCACACCTGACTGAGATGTGTTGATCAGAGCGATAGGCGTGACAATGGCGGCAACTGCGCCTAATCCAACTTCCGACATAGCAATGATGATTAAACAAGCAATTCCCCTCCAATCAGATGAGAAATGAAGTAAATGAGAAATTAGCAGAACAAAATGAACGAAGTAATCTTCTACCGAGCAATTGTCTTTTATTCAGTACTTATAGATACTTTATCCTATTAACAATGCTCCCAGCAATTTCTTTAATCCAAAGCAAATCTGCGTCAATGAATGCAAAAATACTATCATCGGCTTCTATCTCGCCTCCAAAGTGAACCTGAGTCACCGCCAGTGGGATTGTAGTTCTGACAGGGCCAGAGGGATAATAATTCGGCTCACCCACTCCGGCGATCGCCCAGTTAGAAGTGACGGCGGTGGACATCAAAGCATCTTACATTCACACACGCATAAACAGACTGTCTAGGGATAGCTGAAAGCCACTCGTGGTAAAGTGCACGCAATGCAGGCGACGATGGCTGCACGTTATGACAAAACCATGGACAGGCTATACAATGCGTCTCGGGAGGACAAATTGAGTGGGAATACAAAGAGCACGACACAGAGGAAACGAACCTAAAGTGGTCGAGAACACTTTTCAGGCTTTCGGCGATGCTCCACAGTGTCGGGAATGTGTATCTACAATTCAGAGGAGCGGAGTGAGCCAACACTATGGTGGGTGATAGCTGTTAGAATTTCGTGCCTGATTCCCTTTGTGATGCATTCCTTCACGCTCCTGTCCCATAAGGCCAAGTCCATCAATAATAGAAGCCTTCTCATCCTCTTGACCGTTCTGCTTCAAGAATGCCTCAGCCTTGACGTTAAATGATAAAGCAGCAGTTGGAACTGCAGACGTCCAAGGCTGGCAGAAGAATCACATCTTTCAAGTTTCTCAGAGCATTGAGCGTTGGGCCGATTGTAGACAAACTGCATGTTTTAACCATAAAATTCATTTATCGAAGAGCAGATTTGCCATATGGTGAAGACAATACAAAGAGCGTTGTCCCTGAGGTCTCACACTGGGTTTGTCTTACTACCCATTTAAAGCTGTCCTGGCATTAAAATCAGCAGACTTTCAGGAGATTCCTGATCTGGCCTCTTACTAGTTAATCAGATTGCTCACTCACTTTGGCCTTCAAAAACCACATTCCTCTGCACTTCCTTTACGAGATGGCAGTTGCTGAGGTTTGACGATGGCATGAGAATAGTCGTCGATTTTTTTCATTGGGAACGCTCTCAGTCATCCAACTAGCTTTTCATAAAGCAATTGAGGAGTTCACAGTCACATTCCCTGTCCACGCGCATTTAACACACTTTCCTTGTGAAATATGGGCAACACATAGACTGAACTGACAAGTTGACTACTACGCAGACGACTAGCTTGTTGGACGGATTAGGTCATGTGCTGCACTAGCACAATTGCCAGAGGAAAGAAAGCGGGCGGCGACAGCACTATGATACCCTCCCCACAGCACCCTACACGTAAACAAACACATCCAGAGTAGAATAAGTGCTCAAAATGATGAGCTAACTAAGTCCCTCGTCTCTGCAAATGTACAGTACACAGTTGACCATCGGTGGCCCTAAAAAAGAGTATTATCTCTGCCCAAACGTAAGCAACATTTGTTCCAATGAACAGCATCTGCAACATCCAAAAAGTCTAGTTGTTTCAAGTCAGTGGAAGTATTCTATTCAGACTGATAGCATTCCACCTCGCTTTTATGCCTTCTGCCTTGACCGATCCACTTGCTACCATTTGTCATAAAGTGATATTAGTAAAGGTGGCACATATGCGTGACGCCAGTAGCTTCACGAGTGAGCTTCCTGACATATAGCTCAGAGATGGCGACATTTGGAAGGAGGAGGATGCATCTTGCCGCAGCAGGCAACATTTTTGTTAAACAAATCAACAAACATTACACAAAGTAACACAAAACGAAAGATATATAGTGTGAAATAATCCTATTCCTCATTACTTGGTAAGCGGTGACCGATGTGGTAAGCGTTGCAAACTGTACATTGCATTCAAATGTCACCATTTCTGACAACTAAGGTAAATTAAGTGTCGATTAATGTGTCAGCTCTGCCTGACATTTCCAAAACAGTGGAATAGGAGGCGACGTAGAGTCGGAAGTTAAAAGTAAGCTGTAAATAGTCTGGGAGGCTGTCAAAC